GTATATAATTAAATGATCAGAGATCTGGTTCCTATACTCATTTTATTCAACCATTGACCCCCACAAACATCAACTTACATGTGGCACCTTATTGCAAGCTGACATCATTTATTTTTCTGTTTAGTCTTGTTAGTATTCCAAAGTTTTACTTGAATATTTGCTCCTTTGCAACATTATACCACTGGTGTCATATCCCATTGTTGGGGAGCTATGGTGATTTCCAAAGTTAGGTCACTGTGGTTTAGCCATCATGTGTCCACACACTAAGTCATTTGTGCAATATTAAGTTAATGGTGTTCATTACCAGTCAGCATACCCTCCACCAATCAAGAATGTTCTATATGTCACATGATATTTAAATGTAATGAATCCTATACAGCAGGAATATGTAGGATTTTTTATCTGCATCATGCTTCAGGACAATCCTAAGTAAACTTCATGCCTGCCTCATTATTGTCCAGCTGTACTGAAAAATTTTATATTATTATTTGTTTAGGGTGGATAAACTGCTCTGAACAAAAACATGTGTTTGGTTGTATGACAGTTTGAATGTTGTTTTCACAAAGTTTTGTTTTATTCATCGTTTTGTATACTGGTACTAACTTCAGGACAGCAGAGTTGTTTTTATTAAAATTAAAATGTCTTAACGGCCTGTAATGACCACCAATCATGTTCATATGCGATTGTAATCCATTTAATATACATTTGGGATGACATAATTTTTTTTTCATTATTATACGGGATTAGTTGAGTCTATAAAGTTATTCTGATTCAAGGAGGTCAGACAAGATGACTTCTGGCCCAGGTCAGGGACGGCAGCTTCTGGCCCTGGTCAGTCATGATGAATTCTGGCCCATGTCAGGCACCTTGACTTCTGGCCTAAATTCGGCATGATGAATTCTGGCCCATGTCAGAAACAATGGCTTCTGGCCCTGACTGATGCAAAATCAACTTGAAAGAAATTGATTACTAGATAAATAATGGAGGTTGTAAGTCTAATTGTAATTGCATGCAGTCAAATTTCTTATGTAAGAAAAGATATTGGAACAGTTAAGATGTGTAAAGGTATCTAAATGTGTGACAGTTAACCTGTCTGGCATTTAGGGCACCAGTTACAGGGATGGAGTACTTCGCATGGCACCTGGTGTAGGGGATGACACTTAGGTTCTTCATGCTCATGCTCATATTGCAAGGCAAATGAATTTGATAACGTGTACAACATCAGTGAAAGGGAAAATTAGATGGCTAAGTAGAGACCGTTACACAGAGTGTTTTAAGAATATTTATGTTGGAGGACTTAGCGCAGCAGCTGTCGGGGGACATAGTTCAGCTTTATTTGGGGGAAATAGCTTAACAAAGCCACTTTTGGGGACATAAAAGTGCAGCCTCATTTGGGGGACATGGGACAGCCACTTTTGGAGACATAGTGCAGCTTCATCTGGGGGACATAGAACAGCCACTATTGGGGGACATAAAAGTGCAGACTCATTTGGGGGACATAGTGCAGCCTCAATTTTAGGAGACAGCACAGCCACTGCTGGGGGATATAGTGCAGCCTCATTTTTAGGGTCATAGGACAGCCACTCCAGGGGGATATAGTGCAGCTCTACTTGGGGGACATAGCACACCTACTATTGGAGGACATAAAAGTGCTAACCCATTTGGGGGACATAGTGCAGCCCATTTTTGGGGGAAATAGCACTAATAGGACAGCCACAGCTGGGAGACATAGTGCATCCAATGTTATTGGACACTGTAGCCACTGTTAGGGGACATACTAGTGCAGCCTCATTTGGGGGACAGCACAGCCAATGTTGGGGGAAATTAAGACTAGATATATTTGTACAATGAACATAGTCTTGAAATTATGTTGAGTTTATTTATGGTGTTAAACTATTGTTTAAGTTGCTATCAACCTTTACAGCAAACAAATGTGCAGATTGGTTATTTAAAATCTCTAATAAATACCGGTAAATCTATCTATGCCCTAAAAATCTGTGACATCCATGATTTCAATTGTTTTCAAAGGCTATAATAATAATCAGCTAATGTTCATAATTATCATCATAATGCTACTTTGTGTTTTCACGTGTGAACTGGCTAGATATTGCACTAACGGTAATATTTAGTCCACCTTTGTATGTTTCCTATATGTGACATAATTATTTTGTTCGGCTATGCAGACTCCTAAATTTGATTCTCTGCACCCTTGCAAATATATAGGTATTCCTCAGGTGCCTTTTTTCAAATCCTAACAAGTACACTTCTAACAAGTACAATTCTAAAAAGGACAAATCTAAGAAGTAGGCCTACACTTGGAAATCACAAATACATTTTTTTAAATTAAAAGGTTGGGAAGAAATGAAACACTAATGAAGGTCACTAAGAGCCATATATAGGAGCGTCTGAAAACAGTCATTACTCAAGTGAGTTACTTGTTTGCATAAGGTCTGATAAAATATATGTCATATTGGATTGAAAGCAGAAATAAAATTATTAAAATTGTACCTTTTGGTAGCCACTGGGCTATGTCAAACAGACATCAGAGAAAAGCCATGACACATTTTGTCTTTAACACCATTGATATTTTATATGTTAGAGGGTGGGGGGGTTCAGGGGGTTTCATTTGCATGTGATCAGAAGAAAACTGTCCAAAAAAGTAAAAAGTATTATTGCAACAGAGGTAATGTAGGTGATATTTGACTGTTTATGATGTAGTGTCTTATCAAGGTTTTAAGGTATGACTTTTCCCCGGAGTTAATATTCCTTACAAATGACATAAACCACAATGAAATAAATAGTTTGCTGATGCTGGCAGATCAATTATTCTTTGAAACAAAAATTATATCGCATACCCAAATGTCTGTGTGTCTTTACTGCTACAGGTACTCTCAAAGTTGGGACTGTGTGTTTTACAATAAATTCAATAAACCACTCTCTAGTCTACGATAGTGTGTTGTTACAGTTACTCTCAAACCTGGGGACAGTGTGTGTTGTTACTGTTAATCTCAAAGATATGACTGTTACTGTTAATCTCAAAGATATGACTGTGTGTTTTACAGTTACCCACCCTCAAGCCTATGATAGTTTGTTGTTACAGGTACTCTGAAACCTAAGAAAATGATTGGAGGCTGTATTTTAATTAAGATTTAAACTGTATTTTAACTTCTTTTTTTAAAGTCATTTGAATTCCTACCGACCATATTATTTGTTATCTATTTTTTCTTGGATAATTTAATGTACTAACAAAACATTGTAAACACTTGAGTTGCCGATTGTTATTTTTTAAATAATTTTTACATATTTACAGAGATTTCTTGAATAAAATAATTTTCACACTTTTTATTAATTCCAAACATAGAAATTTAAAAAGTTACCTTTAAGCAAATTTTCAGTTATTTTGTCTTTATCTACTATCTATTGTTTAGTTGTTGTTTTTTTTTTTAATCTTGGAGTAATAGGAGGGGCCCCATCCTGAATGAGTCATTGGCTGCAGGTACACAACTTTATCAATTTTACTTATAAGCTAAAGGATATCTTGCTTTGCTGCTGCATAAACCAATTTGATTCACTCTCTGTGCTTTAAAAATTCTCTTTAAAATTATGTTGTTTTTTTAATATTCCCCTACAGTTGCCAGGTATTATTACTGTGGTATATATTGATTTATGCCAGATTGAGATATATACACACCTTACCTGCTACTATGCAAGATCAGTACTTGAGAAATGTGTTGGATTAATTTAAGTTTTAAATGATATGCATTCAATCTTATTGTACCAAAGACACCAACCAAGATCTAATGAATCCAACAGGCACATCCTTATAATTATAACCCCTAAGGGGCTCTTAACTACCAAAACGATTGAGATATGGTACATAATTTAATATCAGATATTTTAAATTTGGATGAGATCAACTTTATTTTAGCTCTCTTTTCATCTGTTGGTTTTACATGGTTCTCAGATAATGTATTTTAAAGAATCATTTAAAGAAATTCAGACTTAATTTTAACAAATAATGTTTGCTAAGGTGCTTTTTGGGGGATAAATATATTAGTTGCCAATGCTTCATTGGTATAATACTTTAAACAATTTAAGAGGCTTTTGAACTGTTAATCCTCCCACTACTTTTAATAAAAGTTTTAACAGTGTTAACCCAAACCATCTCAAGGAGTTTAGTTCAGTCATTGTATTGATTGATTCATGAGGTCTTTTCTTCCTTAAACAAGCCAGTAAGCAAATAAATTAGTATAATTGCATGTTATGGTAAGTTTTATTTCTTCATGTTTTGCTTGCTGTGTACATGCTAAGTTCTATGGGCAAATGTTTTATTTAAATCTCATTCTTTTGAGCTCCTCCTTTAGATCAATAGATCCGAGAATGTATCGTGAAATCTATGGTTTTATTGTCTGGAGTGCTTCACAAAGGAGACTATTTCTTTTATTTTTATTTTAAAGGAATTGGTCGGATGCAGTGGTTTGGCTCATGAAGGACTAGATGCTGCTTTTTTAAATTTTTTAGTAAAATTTAAATGATAAACCCTTTGCAAATTTAATTATAATAAAAAAGGGCTTCTAACTCAATAAAAAAGCTTGTCTACACCTGGTCCATGTGGAATAAAATAAAATTGTAACCAGCATAACCAAGCGGTGGTTCACAACCTTCGAAGCAAGAGGACCAAATTAAATAACTAAATAAATCCAGCATTGGGGACTTTTTAGAGGTCTCAAAAATATGCTTCAAGATGATTTTTGGGCTCCAAATGCTTTGCTCCTAGCAAATGTAATATTTTGACAATAAAATACAACTTTTAGAACTAAAATATATTTTACTTAAATGCCATTCATTAGAATAATTTTTTTAATGTTCCCATCTAAGTACCGATATGTGAGAAATTTTGCAACTTTCCATTCAACAAATAATGAAAACTACATCTGACTTAAAAAATTAAAGTTCTTTTTATTATTATTGAATTCATTCCTTTAACACTCATTAAAATCCCCTGTTATCCTATTAAATTAATAATGAAATGTAATGTTTTTGTAAGAGACATGTTTATAGCTTTAAAACACATACTGTTTTCATTTTTTTTTTACTTGAATTTAGTCAAAACTGTTCTGTCATAAAGATCGAGCAAGTCAGAAGGGTACTGTAATTAAAAGACTGATTAGTTTAAGATAAAAGACTAGGGTAAGATAAAGAGAGACTTGTGTAAGCAGACTTAAAGGAACCAGGCTAAACTCTTTGTTTTAAAAAAGTATGTTTCATTACAAAGATTTTCTGTACTACTTATTTTCAGATCTTGGAAAAACATTTTTTTTTTAATTCTGTTGCACCAACCGGCTAACTTAAATGTTTTTGCTTCTTTGATTTTCACAGCCTTTTTGCAATTATTCCATTTACCTCGTCCTTGGAAGATTTACAATTTGAATGCTCTTATGTTTAAATTAAACTGCTTAAATATGAAATAATTTGTTGCTATTAATCTCACAAATTTTTTTCTGAGTGAAAGACATTATTTAAATTACATTAAAAGCAATTATATCTGTTTGGTTTTCTTTCCCTAAATGTTCTCCAAAAGAACTGTTTATGTTTGTCAAAGAAAATATATAAAATCAAATTGACCACAATAACTTTTCAAGTGTTACTCAGTATTTGATCTCATTTTTATTAAGATAAATATATGTAATGGAAAGTCCTGGCATATTTCTATTTACATTTTAAAATATAAACGTCAAAGACATGAGTAATTAGTTCTTGTAATCCTCATAGTCATAACTTCGGAAGGGTACATTGGCTTCAAGATTGCCTGTCAAAAAAAAATTAAGATAAGACTCGATTGACAAAACATATTACATGTGGTGTATGACCTGTTTATTATTGCATACAAAATACAAGCTGCTTTCAAGATATCAAGAAATGAGGTGTCAAGTCAGATTTATATTTTTCAGAATTTTTACCAGCACGTTTCAGCTATGAAACATACTCATATATATATATTACTATATACCCCTGACTTGAGATTTGAACTATTTTGAAAATTAAAATCTATTCTATGACTTAAGTTAATGCAATCAACTCAAAATTTTCTTTAAATAATTTTTTCAATTAATTTTAAATTTGATTTTCTGACTTATTTTAAAAAGTAAACTCTGGCAATTAATGATCATAAATGAAAGCCTATTTAGTAGGGCTGAGCAGAGTATTAACTTGGAAATGCAGAGTATTAAATCACTCTGCACATACCCTGACCCGAAAAAAAAAAAAAACAAAAACTCGGGTTGTTTAAAAAAAAGTTATCTTCTCATTTTCTATATTTTAAAAAGTAAACTCTGGCAATTAATGATCAAAAATGAAAGCCTATTTAGTAGGGCTGAGCAGAGTATTAACTTGGAAATGCAGAGTATTAAATCACTCTGCACATACCCTGACCCGAAAAAAAAAAAAAAACAAAAACTCGGGTTGTTTAAAAAAAAGTTATCTTCTCATTTTCTATAATGTGTTCCACCCAATGTAAAAGTAAGAGAAATGAAAAGTGCATGAAATAGATCTAGTACATCTTTTTTACATAATTTTTACTTGAATTAAATGAAATAAATAATAATAGAAAACTGAGTAGCAACTGGTGTGAAACTAAATTTAAGCTTGAAGAAACTGCAAAGCTCTGAAAATGTACTTGCTGCTAATTTGTGTCATTATTTGTCTTAGCAAGATGCTACCTTGGGTTATGACCATTGTACTTTCTAATTCTATTTACAATTAATATTTTATTTCACATTCTGACTGGCCGATGATACAGAGTAGCCAAATTTGTTGTTTTTATGTGTGTGTGGATCATTTCTAAGTTCTGTCATAGAATTCAATAATAGTAATGTAATTTAACTCACTTTTAATGAGGGAAGCAATCTGCTTAACTGAAGGATGGCTAGTACTAGTATGGTAATTGGTATCACCATGGTGATGATATAAATATCTATAAAAATAATATGATTACGTTGGTATAAAAAAAAATTAAAACTGCCCGCGACACTAACGCATATAACAAAGCTCCGCTTCATGTTTCATTTTTGTCATGTTTATGGGTTAGGATAGTGTTTCTCAACCTGTGGGTCGAAACCCAGTCAGGGGTCGATCTGACAAATACAGAGAGGGGGGAGGTGTCTTTAAAAAATTGTTAATTTTCTCTTATTTAAATTGTCATTTTGAAATTTAAATATTATTTAAAGTGATCTGACTAGATTCTAGTTACTATGCTACAGCTACAGAACATTTTAAAAAACTCTTATTCATTTGGTAGAAATCAGCAGCTAATTTAATATAAAAATTTGTCAGTTTCTTTTCACTACCAGTATTTAAAAAATCACATTACCAGTATATGATTTTTTTTCCTGTTTTTTTTTTTTTTTTTTTTTGTGCCTGAAATAATAGATGTCAGCATCTACACAAAACGATAACCAGGTGTGAGAATTTATTAACAATTACCTTGGCATTAATTTTTTTTTTTTTTTATCTTTTTTTTAAATTTTTTTTTTTTTTTTTATGGTTTTTTTTCCTTTTTTTTTTTTTTTTTTTTTTTGTGCCTGAAATAATAGATGTCAGCATCTACACAAAACGATAACCAGGTGTGAGAATTTATTAACAATTACCTTGGCATTAATTTACAGAGCCCCCTCTACAGAACCCTCCAGCCCTTATTTCTGCTTCCCTCCATCCGCAATCACAATTACAGCACCAACACCTTTTATCTACAAAAAAGTTTTTCCCCATACTTTGCTTCCTAACACCTGTTTCACAATTTCAAGGTAGGTATAATTCTGGTTATGGGTCGCGATAACTTGATAAATGTAATAAAGAGGTTGTGGCATTAAAAATATTGTGAACCGTTGGGTTAGGACTGTGTTATTAAGCTATTAAGTGTTTTGAAGCTTTCAACTTTTGGACTTTCCCCAGTGGGCAGAACATATTATAGAAAATGAGAAGGTAACTCTTTTTTTTTGTAACACAGAGACCCGGACTTGGAACACCCAGGTAAAAACTCACCTTCATCCCAAGCCTTCATAATTTCAACAGTTAACTTTTTGTGTTTTTCTTGACAAAGGCCTGTCTTTTTTGACTCCAGAATTTCCCCAGAGTATGGTGATATGAACTGTTCCAGCAATTTAGTATTCTGTTTGAATAAAGTGAACACGAGCAGCATTGATCAGACAAAAAAATTATCCAGCTGTAAAAGTATGTAATACCATTCCAAATCTAGAAGTGGATCTTTATAATCAGATATATGTGTTACACTTACATGCTTTTTCAAGGTGACCAGACATATGCGCACAAGACAATTGCGCACACGACAAACGCGCACAGACAATCCCGCAATGACCCAAATGCGTACAGGACAAACGCGAACACTGATAGTTGCGCACACGGACAATGGCGCACACCGACAAATGCGGACACCGACAATCGCCCACAGTGACAAATGCGAACGGCTATATAAGCGCACACCGACAAATGCGCAAATAGCAAGTTATGCATCGCCAATTTAAAGATGATTAATGGATTTAGTCTTAGTTGGTTTTCAGCCAAAATACATCATGTTTAAAGCTAACAATATATTAATAATCATAATAATTGTATGCATGTTTTAAAAAAAATTAACATTTAAATGTATAGACTAATAGTATAGTAATAAAATGTTCGTTCTAGTAGTACTGCTACGTCATGATTTTTAAGAGATGTCATTAAAAAAAATTTAATTGGATATTTAAGTCTTAATCAGCATGTTAAACCATCGTAGTATGATGGAAGCTCGTAAAATGATTATTAAAAAAATAACAGCAGTACTAATACTTAAGCATATAGTTGAAAATAAGACGTATACTTATACATTATACTAAAAATAATTGTGTTTTATTTTAAATAAAAGAAAGAGGAATATTAGTCTTAAAATAAGAGTTGGCATTGCACGTTTCTAAAGGCTGATTAAGACTTAAATATCCAATTAAATTTTTTTTAATGACATCTCTTAAAAATCATGACGTAGCAGTACTACTAGAACGAACATTTTATTACTATACTATTGGTCTATACATTTAAAAGTTAATTTTTTTAAAATATGCATACAATTATTATTACATTTATTATGATTATTAATATATTGTTAGCTTTAAACATGATGTATTTTGGCTGAAAACCAACTAAGACTAAATCCATTAATCATCTTTAAATTGGCGATGCATAACTTGCTATTTGCGCATTTGTCGGTGTGCGCTTATATAGCCGTTCGCATTTGTCACTGTGGGCGATTGTCGGTGTCCGCATTTGTCGGTGTGCGCCATTGTCCGTGTGCGCAACTATCAGTGTTCGCGTTTGTCCTGTACGCATTTGGGTCATTGCGGGATTGTCTGTGCGCGTTTGTCGTGTGCGCAATTGTCTTGTGCGCGTTTGTCACGGAACCCTTTTTCAACACAATGAAATTTTGGTCTAACTGAGATTTACCAGAAGGGTGAATTTATTGAGGATGAATGCAACAAGTTTTAGAAACCTTTAATAGATAATTACTGATAAATAAGACACAGTTGGCGATTGAGAACGCTAACAAATAGAATACATTTTTTTTTTTTTTACATTTCCGGTTTTAATGGGAACTGAAAAATAAATACTTGGTTAGCAAACAGTTTTAATAATTTTAATAATCTATTTATGTTTAATTTCGTGTGGCATTGAGAAAATTTCAAGTCAATTGATATTTATTTCAAAACCTGAAATAAAATATAATACTTGATCATCTGTACTAGTTGCAGTATAGTCCAACATAGTCCAAGAAGTAAATTGTCACTTGATAAAATGAGTATGCTAAAACTACCTATAGTCAAAATAAAGAATTTTGAAGAAATTTTCGACTGGTCTTGAACTAAAAATAGTGCTGCCAAATAATTTATCAATATTCTCCATGAGAAAACTTTTTCAAATGGGAACAGGTGCCTTTCAAATAGGCTCTAAAAAAGGAAGTTTACCCACAATGAAGTTTAGTTCTGCACCTTTTTTAAAATTGTGTTAAAAGTAGAAAATATTGACTAAAAATGCAGCAAAAAGACCATAAATTTTAAAAAAAATAAAATCGGAAAAGTATCTGTAATATGCAGGAGCTGAATCATAATACAATAATGAATAATACAGTCCTCTATACAAATTTATAATGCAATGAACAAAAAAATATTCCATGTTCCAATTAAAGGATAATTAATAGTAAGACAATATCATATTGCAACTTGTAGGTTTGTAATGGTACTGCCTGTGCCAAATATCTTTGATGGGTAAATGAATTTCACATGCTTAAATTTAAATAAAATTCCATTATGTACATAAACAATATTTTGTTTAAAACTTACTGTTGCATCCAAAACAAGGTATTCATCTCTACAAATAGGACAAGGGCTTGCTGTTGCAATCTCTCCTGCCCTCTGCCAATATAAATATTAAATAAAGTTCATTGTGCCCCTAAAACACTACTAGAATAATAATATTTGAAAAGGAAAAATGAATCACAATCACTGTGCCACTTAATTGAGAATATTTCATTTAGTTAAGTTGAACCGCAATCCTTGTTCAAGGAAGAAATAGTACTATTTTAATTCACATTTAATTTCAACGTATAAGCAAAACTTTATAGTAAAAACTTTAGCATAACATACAATGCACTTTTCCCGAGTCTGTGGAGGGTACTGGCCTTTGAAATTTCGTCGATAGTGAAACCACACAGGCTTGTCCCCATATCCTTGAATATAGGCTATGGAAAATATTAAATATCATAAAATAAATGGCATGTCAAACAAACTTTTCCCCAACCTAATTTAATAGATCTTTGATTTATAACAACAACAAAAAGAGTTCTTAGACTTAACATATTAAATATAGAATTTCTCAAAATAAAGTTACAGAAATAAACTGCTAGAAATCAACAAAAGGCTAAAAAAATCATATATTTAGGTCCCTATACTATTTGTTCAGCTTTGTGTTCATTTTGAAAAATGTATTTCCCTTAGCACAGAAAACACATTATTTACATTTGAATACTTTGCATACCATCACTGTTCATATATCTGATGCTTGTTCCTACATCTATGACTTTTTTAGGTTTAACTTGAACATTTCCCTTATCTTCAACTGGTGTGCTTTCATCTTGATGATGCTTTTGTGTCAGAGTAAAACTTCTGCACAAAGCCAAACAGGACTGAAATAGACATATAGGAAAGGATTTTTTATTTTTTTTATTTTTTTGACATTGTCAATGAGTGACAAGAAGGAGAAAGAAGGGGGGGGGTTAAGCAATGTGATGTCACATAAAAAGCAGTACATAATTGAAACAACCTGCACTGAATTACAATAATTATATGTATAGCCTCCCAAAATTTTAATGATTAAATTTTCATTATTTTCGTTTGTTAATGTTTGATTGTGGATGTATTTGATTCAATTTTTTTCATTTTTAAACTATGATCATTATTATTGAGCAAATTAATTTCGTGGCAAACGTAGGAACTTTATTGTATCCCTCTAGATATGTGGCAAGAAGTATCAACGACCTTCTGTCCCACCCACCCCCCCCCCTTCCTGGCGCTATTTCAGCTGGCACATTAATTTCGGGGCAAACTTGGCAACTTTATTTTTTCCTTCTAGATATGTGACAAGAATTTTCAACAAACTGTGGTAGCTCCCTTCCCTCAATTAACACATGTGTGCTACAGTTACACAATGTTGTAAGAAAAGTTTTAAAATAAAAATAAGAAAAGCACATTAATATTTTTTTAATAATGAAAACCCAACATACAGTTTTATCTAATACACTTTTAACACTTTATTGTAATTTCCACAAAAATAAAATGAAAAGTTGTCAGAAAATTCAAGTCAATTCAATACTATACTCATTTTCCACTTTTATCAGAATAATTAAGTATTATAATTAACCACCCAATGAAATTATAATTTAAATTTATTTCATATAAGAAAAAGAAAAGCTAACTCTCGTAATAATCCAAGAATGAACCAAAGGGAGAGAATCCTAAACCGAACATAAATTAGCCCTGAGTCTTGCATTTACTGTTTAACACTGTAACAAACTTAAAATTGACTCACTGGGCTTTCTATTATTAAAGTAAGCATTAAAAAAGAAAAGCAAACTGCATAGGTAATCTATCACTTGAGCGTCCATTATGAAAAAAATTATGTTGTTATGGTTTGAAGAAGGGCTATTTAAACTGTTATTGTTTTATTGATAAGATACAATCATTTTATTGATCCTAATACTTGTATATGTTTTTTATGACGTTGTCATCTTCACAAAAAACAATTGTGAAACAGGAAATCATGCCAATATGTAGGGAAAAGATCGCTGCATCCACATAATTTCCAGTTTGTGTGAGACACCAGCGTCATTTGAATTGACAAAATTTTGTTGATGAACAACAACGGATTGTTTATGTGTCTGATCTTGTTTATGTTTGCATAAGCCAGTATAAGTGATACAATAATTTGAATAAATAAGCCACATGAAGTGAGCCTGGTACTCATACTGGCATGAGTACTGGAAGGATATATCTATCTCTGCACTCCTTTAATGGCTTTAACGTGATCGCCCTCTCTCTATAAGTCTTTACATGCCTCCGAAAACCCAGTAGCCCTCTCCAAATGTACTATTAAGTCCATTTAAGTAGGCAGTATCTACACATCCGGCTGGACGTATATCTCCCGCACTATTTCTCAGGCGACCAAGTCACATGACCGCCGTAAAAAAGTGGCGCAAGATATTTGTCCATCAGCTTTGTCACGTTACCGCAAATGATTAAAAAAACTATTGTTAATTTTAAAATCTATTTCTCTTCCAAGTAATGTACTGAGTATCTTGCAAACAAATAATAGAAAAAAAATACTTGGGTATATTACCAAAACAAAGTGGGGGTTAAGCAATAATGCATTCTAGAAGGAAGCAATGCCGAGAGGGAGAGAGAATTACAAAAACAAAGTGGGGGTTAAGCAATAATGCATTCTAGAAGGAAGCAATGCCGAGAGGGAGAGAGAATTACAATAATAAAAAATATGAATGCTAAAACTAAAAAAATAATAGTGAGGGTGATATATAATAAAGTTTAGGCAGTGTCTACACGTCCGGCGCGCCGGACGTATATCTCCCGCACTATTTGTCCGGCGACCAAGTCACATGAACGCCGTAACAAAGAGATATTTTGTCCATCAGCCTTATCACGTGACCGCGAATGATTCAAAACTATTGTTAATTTTAAAATCTATTTCTCTACCAAGTAATGTACATCTTGCATGCAAATAATAGAAAAAAACTTAAGTGAAAGTGGCTTGTAAACATTTTTGTTTAGTTTGTTATTTGAGTTCGTGTACGAGTAATCCATAAAATAAATTAGGGGCCAGTGTGGAGTAGGCAACCAATAAAAGTAAAAGATTTCATTTTAAATTGTTTCAATTACTACAAAATATTTAAAAACTTCTCATGAAACTACTGTTGCTGATGAACATGATAATTTAATTATAGTATAAAATATTTTTAATTAAAACGGGAAGAAAAAAAACAATCCTATCCCCGGTATTGATCCTCAAATCATAATATCGTCAAGCGACCACTCTACCAATAGACCACACAAGATCTATTAAACTGCATTTCGTTCGGAATTATATAAACTACTAGCCGTCCGGCGGTCACGTGACATGCCGCCGAACGTATATCTTGCGCACTATTTGTCCGGCGCGCCGGACGTGTAGACACTTCGTAAAGTTTAAGGCGGGGAGGCAGTTAGTTCACAAAGAAATAGACCCTACATCTTAGTATAGGGCCGATAAAATGGTCGCCTAGCCTACATCTCATGCAATACTAATCCTGAAATACAACTTTATTGACATAGTTCTAGTCTATTGAAGTCTACTGGTCTTATTTTATTTGGTTCATATTTTAAAATTAGGCTTCAAGGTATAGCTTTACAAGATGTATTAACCAAGATAAGGGACTTTTTTCTTTGAAGAGTTGGAATCAAATAGACTAGTAATAGTAGAAGTAATTGTACTACTAGTTAGTACCGGTATATAGGCCGAGTAGTTTAATAATCAAAGTCAAACACTTTTATGTATCTCATTATAAATCTCAGAGCATTTGAATACATTAACATGTTCAGCATTTATTTATTTTCTAGGGAACGGAATATCAAATGCAAACTATTTTTCCAGCGACTTCTTGTCACATGACCTGCCGGAATAATAATGCCTTCCAGTTGTCCGGCAGTCACGTGACATGCCAGCCGGATGTATATCTCCCGCACTATCTGTACGGCACGCAGGATGTGTAGACACTTTGAATTAAGTATTTAGACATGACATAAGCCTGGAAATCAATAAAAAAGCTTGAAAAAGTGGTTTTGAGTTCTTATTACTTATTCTTACTGACTAACTCAAACTGTACTGACTAACTTTACAAGACAAAAGTGTACTAACTGTAAATAAATGCATAAAACTTATACTTATATGAATATGAACCACTTGAGTTTGGGCTTGAAATTCAAGGCTTGAAATTGAAAGATGATCTTGGTGTTTTTATTTTAAAATTTAAAACCTTTCTAAGCTCTTTACAGTTATAGAAGTTTTATTGGTAAATTTTAAGAACGAATGCCACATTTTTATTGAATTTCACGAATGACGAATGTATCCCGAAATCGATCCCTTTGCCTAACCTGAACCCTAAATTGATCCCTTCTTAACCTAACCTAAACCCTAATTCACTGCAACTATAATAAACACACAAAAGACGCCTTTATTATTTTCTGAATGTTTTGACCTTTTCATCAAAGTGCTTAATTAAAGGTTAATAAAAGAATAACGTTTAAATATTAAATAACTTTAAAATAACACTTATAACACTAATAATAATAGTAATAGTAACACTAAAAAATAACACTTTAAACTTCAAAACCGGTACAACACGATTTTTCCATAACCGACGCTGAAGTGGTAATTACCCAGGCATATATTCCTTTTCTTGAATATAAAGAAAATAAAGGTTCAAATAAAGCGCAACTGAAATAAAATTAGATCTAAACACGATATTTGAAAAACTAACTTTGTTCGCAAAAATTCTTGTCGCATGACTCCATTTCATTAAGTTCAAGGGGGCTGCCATTTTGTTTCCTGTAGACAACCGAAATAATTCGCGTTTTATTTTTTAATTTTATTGTATTACAACTTGAAGGGTAAAAAAACAACTTTTCAAATTTACATTTACCTGATGATTTAAATTTCTTAAATAAGTATTCAATATTTAAAATATTTTTTCCCCTTTAGACCTACAGGAGGTGTGTTTGTGTTCGATTTTTGTCTAAAATGTCTGATCTCCATAATCTCAGTCAACATGGCAAACATTTTTTAAAGTAAATAAATAACAAAGATCAACCGTACTTAACTAAGCCAGTCGTGGCGAATGACACAAAATTATGGCACGCGTACCGAAGGAGGGACACAGAGCCCTCTATGTCGGCACGCGAGTATGAGTTTCGTTCTTGTTTTTTCCTTCTAGCCTCGAACCTCAGTTCAGGTTTAATTGCAGCGAAGCCTATCATTTGATGGAGATTTTTACCCAAGCCCAATGGTTGAAATTTCTACCCTTCTTGATACACCATTTGTCTTACAATCAGTGACGTAGCTGACGTAGGAAGTGGGCGGTCTGGCTCGGCTGGTCCTTTTTTATACAAAAAATGCAGAGTAAAGATTGGGTAAAACAAATCAAATCTACCACAAGAAATTTCTATGACTTTCAATTTCAAGGGATTGTTGAATCATTTGCATAATCTACTAATGATTCTTATCACCTCAACTCAAGTGTATAATATCTTTCTTCCATACCAACTTAAACATTTAGGCCAATACCAGTTGACGAGCCTCTTTGTCCTTCATCCTTGAAAATTCAAATATATTTGCCAGTTGAAGTATCCGACACGTTCTATTTCTAAACCATGGCACATGTCAGCAGAAAAAGTCAATATCTGTGCGAAGCAAAGAAATATTTATTATTATTATTATTTTCTTAATAGCTTTCCCCACTGTCCTATAATCTTTCAGCCCGCACAAGTTTTTCATAAACTATTACTATTGCGGCTAACCTTACATTTTCAGTTGTGCAGGCCTGATCTAGGTTTTTCTTTTTCTTTTTTTTTTAGTTTCAGCTGCATTTGTTTTTACCCAACCAATGTTCCCTTTAAGGTTTGCTGGCTCATGTGCAAAATCGTACAGTTGTGTGCAAAGTTTTACAGCATAAATTTTTGTATGTGCAAAATTTTACAGTTCACAAACAAAAACACATACTTACATGGAAATTTACTGCGCGGATACTCAAAACTGCTGCGTAGCGTCTGTCAGTTAGCTGCGAGGCCGCGCAGCCTAAAGGGAACATCGCCCCCACCCCGCCAGCTCATTCAGTTAAACTTTAACCCTCTGGAGACGGAGCCTTTTCGGGGTGTATGTGCCAAAAAGACGGAGCAATTTTTACGAGCTCGAGACTCGCATTGCAAAAAAATTTATAAAAAATAAACTATTCCCTTAATATATGTAAAACTATATATATTCTTGTAGGAAATTGAATGAACTAATACAATCTTTATGAATCAAACTGACATATCAAAATTTATGCAAATGAGGTACCCTTATTTGCATAATTTATGCGTGTAATTTTTTGTTACACCTGGAATAAACATGACTTACTTGTATCAATTGTGTGAATTTTTTGATGGATGAAGCCTGAATAAGTCCTAATACTTATTTTTTGGGGGAAAAGGGCCCATGAAGGCCCTTCAGACACCTCTGGCACATGGTTCTACTCCTTTCCCACCCCCACCCCCTATTTTTCAGTTGTTACAGACACACTGTAACAGGCCCCCATTTATAACCTAGGGACCTTCTCTTAAGCTGAATGTTACTGACAAATGTGTCTGCATATCAATTGGTC